GCAGGAAGGAAGGTGCAACTGCACCTCCACATGCCCCCTGGATCTGCCCCTGCCACATTTGTCTGTCATTAAGATTAGCCTGCCCTCTGAATTTAGAATGCTTGGTTCTGGAATAATGATACCACCCCCTCATTAAATGTTTTTCATCCCCAGTTACCAATGTGCATTCTGAGACTTGGATAATACATTTTAGTGTATCATGTGCCTGGAATTAGTTAGCAATCAAAGACAGGAAGAGGTGCTTCTTATGATAAAAATCACAACCAGTAACTGAATAAAACTTTGAACAATACATAGGGTGGCCAACAGGCTCAGGATCTGGCAAGGTGTCACAGAGTCTGCCACCTTCCAAATACATCCCATGTTAGAAGCAGCTGGCTTCATCTGAAATTCTCCAGAAATGTAGGAACAAAGTAAAATGAGGATGGAAACGGGTTGCCTGTTCCACATTCAGATAACATCTAGGGTTTTTTTCAGTTTTGTTTTGTGTTTTAAAGAACACAGAGAGATGCCATCCAAAAATACAGTAGCCAAGTACTTAGAGTAGGGATGTCCAATCCATGGCATGCATGGCACAAGAGAACAGACAGGGCAGCAAGGAGAGACCAGAGGATCAGGCAACAGTGCTATTACGTGGAAGTCTTAAAAAGGGAAAGAACAGGAACTGCCCAGCCAAAAGTACCTTCTGAAACCTAAAGATACACAGATACAAAGGTAAGCTTGTGTGTTTCAGCTTACCATGTCAGCATCCATATTACATCTGCTCTGTGGCAGGTAGATGAAGCTAGCCTCAGCATCCATATTACATCTGCTCTGTGGCAGGGAGATGAAGCTAGCAATCAGTGATATCAGTCTGGGGAATTTTATCCAGAGCTGGACATCACTTTAGGAAATGATTTCCTAAAGTCAACCTCAGTCTTGTAATACTTGCTGCATTGTAAAATATTTCCGTGTGACACGTGTGTGAAAAATCTTTCTGTTTCCAATACTTGTAGCCAAAGGCCAGAAACTCTGCTCTTGCATAAATGGAAGACAAGGAGCTCCACGTGACTGATTTTTTTATGATGAAGCTGGTTACTGGATTGTAATATCTTTAGGGAAAACGTCCTTTTGTAATTCAAACCAATAATATACAAATGCTAATCACTGGCCCCATTTCTTGTGCATACTTTTAATACATGAATGGAATTAACTACCTGCTTCTCTCATTTCAGTAGGATTAGGCACAAATGTTGATCAATGTGTATCTTTTAAGTGTGGCAATAATTTTTTCCAGCCTTCAGAACCTATAAATGATGATGTTTATTAGCATTTCACAGTCTGGAAAGCATCATTACATCTTCTTTTACTTACAGACTAGTAAGGTGATTTCCCCTACACAAACACACAGCTAAATAGGCACAGCTGTAGCTTGTACAGCTACAGTACAGCAATATAAATTATACATAAATTAGGCTTATAACTATAGCAGAGAGATGGTTGTTATTAAAGATACAGTCCAGGTCCTGCTGAGAAAGTACTTAAAGGTTTAAAGGCTCTGGTGCGTGTGCACAGTAACTTAGCTGTGTCCATTTAATACTTGCCAGACAAATCACAGAGCCCTCTCAGTGTGTAGCAGCATATGATCTCCTTGAAAGTTTTCCTAAGCTCTTGACTTCGGAACGCATAGATAAGTGGATCAATGATGGAATTGCACATGATGAGGATGAGGTAAAAGTTAAAGTGGGACATGAAACACACGCAATATGGGTTGTAGGGGCAGGAGATATAGAAGATCAAATGGAGGAAAAATGGGGCCCAGCATACAACAAACACCCCAATTAAGATGGTCAAAGTAATGGCCCCTTTCATGTTGGCACCTTGACGAATAGTTCCAGTGCCTGGAAGAACAGCAATCTTTTTGATATGAAGTCGGGCCAGCATGAACATGTGCACATAGAGGGAAGCCATGAGAACAAGCATGGTGAAGAACATGCCGATAAGGCAGATGATGACCACACTGCTATCTGAATAAATGATGAACAAAATGCCTGAAACTGTGCAAGCTGCCCAGATGCATGTTATGATGACCCCTACTCGTTTCACTGTCATGATGTTGTGGTACTGGAGAGCATAAAAGATGGTAAAATACCTGTCCACGGCTATTGAAAGTAAGCTGCAAATGGAAGCAAGCAAAGAACTGCAAATCACTGAGTCAATGACGTTGTCAATATTTATGGTGAAGCTTTGGGCATCCGTGTCCGTGCTGTTTAACAGTGTGATTACGATCGTTTCTGATCCATTAGATAAGCTCACTAGCATATCAGCCACTGCCAAGCTACAGATGAAAAAATACATAGGTGAATGCAGGTTCTTGTTCTTAGCTATTGCCACAATAACCAAAACGTTCTCCAATAAGCTTACAATGCCCAGAGTCACAAACACCTCAGGAGAGACAAAAAGTTGCTCATAACAGCCTCCTGAAGAGTAACCCTTTCTGCTCGTCTCGTTGGCACCACCATGCAATCCATAGCTGTGGTTCCAGAAGTGTAGTGGCTGAGACACCCCCCGGTGGCGTGTGAAGTTCATCTTATGAAATGCTGATCCAGTCAGACGTGGGATTGTTCCAGCTCACTGCCTGTTAAATTTCAAGCCCCTTTCTTTTGCTCCCCTTCTGATCCTCCTTTGGCTTCTCAGTTACAAAAAGACAGTACAAAGACCCCCTGGGGAGAAAGCAGTTCAAAACACCAGCGTGATACCACACACCAGGATTTCAGCCTCGCTCGGATGCAGTTTCTGGTAATCCTTGCTGTTAGCTTGGGTATCAACTTCCATGATATCCAGTCTCAGCTGCAAGCTATAACTGTTCAGGGTGTTTCTTCCCTACTGAGACTGTTTTACACTGATGCAATCAGGTTTTTTTCCTTGTCTTCCATTAAAAGGGAGAAGAGTAAAATGTTCAAGTGGCTGCTTCTGAATGGAAGCTACTTTCAAATTACAAGCACTGCTTTCACTGACAGTAGTGCATGCCGGCTGTCTGCTTTATGGTGTGTAGAGGGGACGAGCAGTCAGAAGCATAATCCGCCTCTGCTTTGCCTCTTGGCCAATCAGGCTACAGCACTGCGAAAGCCTAGAAGATGCTGATTACATTTCAGAACTTCACCTCGCAGGGCAACACGGATTTAGATGCAGCACAGCTTCCAACAGGAAATGTGCTAGCCTCTAAGGGATTTGTTTTGCTTCTCTAACTTTTAGAGAGAGTTTGTTTTTTTTTAATCTCCCTTCCATGGATTTTCTGCATCATCAACATTGCTTTAACAGCCTTACAAAGTCTGTAACTGCCTTACAGAAGTTGCTGTATTCTATACAGGCAAATGGACACTGGACTACAGACAAATTCAACTCAGATTTCCTTCCAGATCTGCCACAATTGGCCTGTGGAACATGGACAAAGTCATTTAATCTCTGTGCCTTGCTTCTCCATGTTTAAAAGAAGGAAAACTCATAGCACCTGAGAGACTAACTAGTTCAGAGAGGCATACGCTTTCACAGGTGACAAAGATTCTTTATAGCTGTTGCATGGATTTATAGATGAGAAAGGTTCAACTCTTGTGTTAATGGGAGCCGCATAAGCACCAAAATGGAGCAACAAAATGAAATCACAGGAGGCTCCCATAACTGCCCTGGAAGTAATGAGGGACCCTTCAGGGTCCGCTGTAATCATGAAAACAATTTTTTAGATAATCTGGTCACTGCCAGAAAATAGGAGTTGGCAGTATGCAGTGCAACAGTCCTGTAACAGCCAGGTGTTAGGAAGAGACAGAAAATGTCATCAAAAGGCAGCTGTCCAAAGTTCAGTGCAGATGGGAAACAAAGTTACGGCTTGAGAAAAGGATGTCTCAGAGGCAGGCAATAAATACACGCTGGCAAAGAGCAATCAATCCTTAATTAGTGCCTATCAACACCCCTCATAAGATTCATCAAAGGGCTTGAGTCAGTTCTGCCAAAAAAAATACTAGGAAAAAATTTAACTGCTTTTCAAATGAAAGGAAGAAACAATGAAGCAGCTATTGGTCTTAGGACATTATAATATGAAGAACCTAGAAAAATGCAAAATCAGTAGGCAATAAACTAATAAGTAAGAGAAATTAGGGATAATATTGTGTATTTATATATTTTTAAGTCTTTGGGTCTCTTCTAAGAACCTTTTGTGAGTGTGTATGTGGCAAGACAAAAACTATAATCTTTTTCTCTCTTTCCTCTCCCGGTTTTAGTTGTTTAGATTTTTACACATGGTTATTAGAGTTCTTTCCCAAAGCCCTTTATGCTGGCCACTCTACAAATACAGGGTTTGCATCTTTAGCTTCAAGACAGACTTCCATTTTCACTTCTCAAAATCTCTTTCATGGGCTTTTAACAATAGTTTGAAAGAGCCTAGCTCTGAATATGCTATCATTTTAGTATGATGACATGCTGGAGAATAGAAATAATATACTCTAACTTTGAAGTTTTGACAAGTGGCATACCCATGATTTCTAGTAAATTAAAACTGACAGACCTTTTAGCAACTCTAAAACCAACAAGAACACAGAACCCAAGTTATCATTAATGGAGTCCATAAGAGAAATGAAATGACAAAGGTGCAATAACGGCCTATCCCTCAGACATAGGGATGAATTACAACAATGTGGGTTTTTTTCTTTTTGACTGGTGAAAAATCTCATTGGGCTTCCTTCACAAGCTTCTTCCCAAAACACTGAACCAAACTGAAACTAGCCATATCTGATGTTTTGTTTCCTACATTTTGGAAAGCTGAATCATATGCCTCAACACTCCTCTTTGAAAAATAGAAGAAAACTCTCCACACAGTTCCTTAAGAGTCTGATGACATCTAAACAATTCCCATTTTAAAATAAGAAGTGAAGTGAAGTGAAGTGGCCTGAAGAAAAATGTGAGGCAGGAAATGGGAAGCACATGAGTGCTATGGAAGAAATGAGAAAATTTTAGTGCCAGGAGATTTAGTTGATCCACATGTTCATCCTTTAAAGTCAGGACATGAGGAGAAGACACATTACACCAGTGTGATCAGCCGTGGCATCAATATAAAAGAGAAGCAGACAGATGAAATAGACCCTTACGCCAAGGTAATTTTCCCAATCCATTGTAGATTTTTCTGCTGAAAAAAGGGAAAAAGTTACAACAGTACAAGTTTCATAAGCATAGATGTCATCTGTCCATGGCTAATTCCACATAACCCATTTGCTGAAGGCAAGATATTATATGGTCCCCTGCCATCTAGTGGTGAGGTTATATAGTAGCCAGCTCCTGCCTGCAGGTAGCCAAGGATAGCTGTTCACCTGTGCGCTTTGAATTCCAAATGAATTTATATTGCAGCAATAAACAGGTGTAAATCACACTAGTATAAATGTGTCATCTGTCCATGCCATAACTGTGGCAGTAAGAGGCAGACTTAAGCACCCACACAGTTCCAGTGGTTGTGAATGGAGCTAAAATGCGTGTTACAGAAAAAGGCTAAATATTCTATTATTAGTCAGTAGTCCTAGCAGCTTGTAAATAATGTGTGCTGATACTTTACAAAGAACACAGAAGTCTAGGTATCATTGAAAAAAGACATCATTAAATCTGTGCAAAGTAAGTTTATCAATGTACTGAAAAAGACTTCCCTGAAATAAAAAGCCTTTGGTACAATTAAAAATGTTTTTAGGAGACAAGAAAAGCTAGAGAGTTTGGAAAGGTCTCCAATATTGTAGTCTGCTGAATGTCTCCTACAATAGGTTAATGCAGCCTGGGTAAACTCCAAATGGCATTTACAGTTCTGAAAATAAAGGTCCTCAGAACAGAATCATCCCAAGCATTTTTTCTCATGAACTTTATCCCCAGTAAATTAATATACGAGCTTCATCATGGTGGATATGTGTGTATGTTTAAGATCGTCATTACATTTGTTAGAAGAACATGTGTGTAAACTGCCTAACGGCCTTGTTACATGGTAATTTTGGGCAGCTCCTGGAGCTTTTAACACCTGAATTGTCTGCACATTAACACCTGAAACTGGTTTTAAGCACTTCAGTGGCTCAAAGTTATACCACTCCAGGGCAGAATTATCTCTGATTTGTGTTATCCAGCTTATGTTACACCAAGGTTTGGCCACTCCAGGCTATACCTAGTGTAAACACTCCATCCACTCCCTCCCCTGCTGACCCAGATTGGGCCCATTGCCCCCTCTATCCTTCCCAGCACCCCCTGCTCACTGCAGCTCATCTCTTCTGTTTCCAGGGGCAGGGGGCAGAACATTGGGGCTGTGCCTGCACAGAGGCAACTCTGTGACCTCCGTGCTTCAGCCATTACACACAGGTACCCAGACCAGGAGCATCTCGGGTGCTGCGAGGCCTTTTTGGCCCACAGTTACTGGGTCCTGGAGTACTAGTGGTGGGGGTAGGGGAGAAAGGAAATGACCATCCAAGCCAGGGCAAGCAGGCGGATGCCCCTGGAAACTTCAGGAGCAGGTGGGGCATGGGCTGATGTGGCAGGGGTTTGGGCATGTGCTTGCTCATGCCCAGCAGCCAGTCATGGGTGGCCTAGGTGCTTGGCTATACTCAGGTGTCTCCAGAAGCTCAGGGAGCCCAAAGAGCCTGCTGGGAGGTGTGCCTGAGCACTCCCAACTTGCTGGCCTTGGCCAGTGCAGGCAGCCTGCATGCCCCCCCTCAGCAAAGGGCAATGTGTGGTCTGTTTGCTACTAATATAACTTAGGTCACTTACAGAAACCCATGTAACTTAAATTGATTCCTCCTCTGGCTTTTTGAACATCTGTACTTAGCCTTTGTGCAGCTCATAGCATAAGGTATAACAAGGCCCTAACAATGCCTTCAATTGGGACTTTATTACTGCAAAACTGTCTCATGCCAACAGGAAAAACAACATAAGAATACAGAAGAGAACTAGTAGTATTTTATCTTTGAATCAAGTAAAAACCACACATCTTTAAAATCATGAAATCATTCCACACAGGTATAAGCTATTCCTTCTTCTGTTGTACAAGTCTCTAGGGTGTTGTTAATTGCTCTTTGCTTTTCATTCAGCACATAAAATGATTTTTTGCATTATTTCTCAATGGGGGCCTGTTTATGTAACTACAAGGAGGCAGCAATTTCTTGTTCAGAGATGGTAATGCAATAAACAGGCTGCTCAAAAACAATTGAGAATCAACCTGTTGGCGATAAACTGCAGGCCTACATTCTTCAAATGATGTAGATCAAACTACAAAATCCATTCCAACTTAGCTTCTCGCATCAGACAAGATCACATACACCTTTCACAACTTCACAATTCTGAGGACCACTGATCATGTGGCAAGACAGATGTGAGTAAGGTCACAATATTTCCATCCAGCTGTTCTTTTCAGGCTGTTTCCTTATAACCCTGAGATTTTTGCTAACAGCAAGATTTCAAACCAGGATTTCCCATCGTAGGAACATAGGCTTCTATCACCTGATGAAAAGCATCTAGTCAGTTAGCTCAGAGCAATAGCAGATACATTAATGTCTTTGTTAGACAAGCCAGGAGAAAGG